TTATCCAAAAACGACTGGAACAGCACATCAACAGAGAACTACCAGAAGTCCAGGCTGGGTTTAGAAGGGGTCGTGGTACTAGGGATATTGTAGATAAGTTAGATGGATCTTAGCTGAAAGCAGGGAATGCCAGAGGAATGTATATATGTGTTTTATTGATTTTAAAATTAGGGAAATAAAATAAAAAAATTAATTTTGAGAAGAAGTGCTTACTTAAATTTCCTTCTATTTTATCTCTTAATTTTATTGCCAAAAGCCTTAAGCATCACCTAATACTAAGCAATCTGTTTTAATACAATACCTTAAAAATTTGGAAAAGTAAAATAATTTCAACACTGAAAATGCAACATACCAGTATTCAGTCACGTCTATTTTTAATCTGACCCAGACCTATAAGGAATTATTTCTTTTAAAACACATTACTTTGTATACTACACATTTGCTAAGTAGAGGCTTTATTTTTGTAGAAACAGTGATTTAAAATGCTCTCTGCCTCTGTTTTTAAAAAACTTAATTTTTAAGGGTACAGCTATGTTTAAATGATCGTTACGATAATTAAGTTGGGGTAGTTGGTTTGTTTTTAATAAGTAGATCTAATTAAAGATATTAACTCATTACTCTAGAAAGAGAATAGAGTTCTCCTTGTCTCTCTTTCCTATAAGACAACTTCTTTCCTTAGGTTGGTTAAGTACACTTTAAAAAGGTCAAGATTTTCTTTAAATGTTAGAAAGATTTATACTAATATTCACTTACATAATATGAATGTTCATATTAATAATTGTTCCCTGGTACGAAATTTAATTTTTACATAATGAAGTTTGAAGACTTTATTCATAATTAGTATATTAATTTTTTTCAAATTCTAGGGTTCAAAAAGAGGATGGAGAAAAGAACGTGTTAACATGTTTCTTCCAGGAGACAAAATAGGATTACATCTTAGAGGAGGTTATATCATCCCCACTCAACAGCCTAACGTAACTACAACTGCCAGGTAAAATGAAACTTATTCATTACAATTTGAAATGTAATTTAAATTTTAATATTTTACAACTCAGTAAGAATCATAGACTATCTAATATATCCTTTTCACAATATTTAATGTATTGCAGCATTTCTTGAGATATTCTACATAGGTAGAAGAAGTATCATATATAGTGAAATAAGTTTCTGAACCTGAAAAATCAATTTATTTAAACTAGAAATTATTCATTACCCAAATATGTATATATAAATAT